GGTGAGTGGGTGGTGCAGGGTTAAATGGGGAGGAGTGGATCATGGTGAAAGTGGGTGTCACTTTCAAGATGACTGGCTGTGAAGAGCAGCAGCTACAAAGTTTTGGCTTAAGATTCTCCCCAAAGGTGGACCTGGGACAAGGATTGGAGAGCAAGTAGCTGGTTTGGGAAGTGATCCCAAGAAACACCTGTAGAAGAGGCGGATAGAAGCCGGGGAATGAAAGGAATCCAGCAAGAGAAGGTGCATTAAAGAGCCGGTTGCAGCTGTCGGCAACTGGGACTCAATTCTGCACACAACTACTGAAACGCAGTGTAGGACTTACCTCTCAGATTCTTTGGATGGGCGAGGAAGCTAGGGCACTATCTACCGACGTTTATTCCTACTCGATGGAGGACTGCTGAGGGTGAGGGCGCTATAAGCACCCCAGCAGTTCTGGGCATGCTCCATTTCTCCACCGAGCAAGCTTTCCACAGCCAGTGACGCCTCCACGTGGTGGCCATTTGCGCACAAAATGGGTGAGTACAAAAAAAGTGGGGAAAAGGAGGGCGTTTTTACAGTATGCTAGTTAGAGAGCGTGAGCATCGGGAGCACAGAATCGGGAGAGTCCCAGAATGCTGTTTCTCTAAAGCGTAAAAGATGTGAGGCGCAGGGCTGATGCGGGTCATTTTCGGGGGAATGCAGGAAGTTTGCAGGAAATCTGATAGACACAGTCCTCTCTCTGTCCCTCAAATGCCCCAAAAGTTGTTTCCTAAAAGGAAGTCAGGGTGGGATATCAGAACCGAAGGGACTTTAAAGCCACCTTCCCCGAGTCGGAAGGGGCGTTCGAGGTCCGGAGAAGAGAACGGCCAGAGGCACAACGCCGGTAATCCGCAGGGCGGGCGGCGCAGTCGAGGGCTCCGGGCCTGGAGGGAATTGTTTCCACGCGGAGTCTAAAGTCGCCCCCTGGCCGTGCGCCACCCAGGAGGTCCCGGGCGAAGGGAGCACTTGACCCAAAAAAGATAAGCAGCCGCCCCGGACGCTCCGGGTTCTCTGTGGCCCTTAAGCAGGAAAGGAAAGGACACGCATCTTGGGGTAGGATGGTACCTTAGAACTTTGCGTTCTTATCAACGAAACATCCCTCGAAATAGCAGGTGGCAGATCAGAAAGGGACCTTCCGCGGTCACCGCCCCCAGGCAGCGACTGGGCTTGGGAGCGCGAGCCGCAGCCCTGCTCTCTCTCCAGGTCGCAGTCCAGCTGCGGCGCCCCCGGTCTCCCGCCAGGCCCCAGCGTCGCGCCCCCAGGCTTCCCCCAGCCCCGAGACCCCTGGGCCCCCGGACCCCCGGGCCCCCGCCAGCCCCCAGCCCCGCGCCCCGATAAGCCTCCCCCACACCGCACAGCTGGGAAGAGCGCGCAGAGGGGCGGGACCCGCGCGCAGGCCGCGCGGCATCTCGGGGCGGAGGCGGGGCTCCTGCTCCTGCTGACGCGGGGGCGCGGCGGGGCCCGGGGGCGCGCGCCCGGGCGAGCCCCGCGCTGAGCCGCTTCCCAGCCGGCTGTCCGTGCGGCGGCTCCCGGGCGCCTCCTTCGCCATGTACACCTTCGTGGTGCGGGACGAGAACAGCAGCGTCTACGCTGAGGTCTCCCGCCTGCTGCTCGCCACCGGCCACTGGAGGAGGCTACGGCGCGACAACCCCAGGTTCAACCTGATGCTGGGGGAGAGGAACAGGCTGCCCTTCGGGAGACTGGGTGAGCGCGTCCCCGATTCCCGCCCTCCACGACCCCCTGGAACGAGCGCTTTTGTTGTTAAGGTCACGAAGCTCCCCCTCTGTCCATCCTCGGGAAGGAAAAAGAAGGATGCATAAAGGCCTGCACCCTTCCTTTTATTGCCTCTGGTTTCCAGAGTCGGACTGGGCTGCAGCTGCCTGACGACAGCTGGTCCCTGCAGCCTGGGGCGCCGGCCGCGCGTTCCCGCAGCCCCGGGCCCGACGCGCCCAGCCTGGCCGGGCAGAGCGCTGTGAGGGGGCGGGGGGCGGGGGTGGGCTCCGCGGGGAGGGGCCGGGGCACACCTCCCACCCGCGTGCGCGCGCAAAGGGGCGGAGCAGAGGAGGCCCAGCGGCTCCTAGAGGAGGTGGCCAAGAACGCGTGGCCGTTGACCTGAGCGTGGTCTCATGGCATCTCCTCTGCCCAGTCATCCGAGAATGCGGAGCGCAGCCCCTCTCCGGATGGCCAGGCTTCCTATCAAAGACCCAAGGGGAGAATCAAGGAGGAAAAGGCCTCTTCCTTGGAGGGCAACCCAGAGAGAGCAGTGTTCTGTGTCCAGGGGAGGAGACAAGTTTTTAGAAATAGGTGCGGTCAGAGGGTGGAGAGGTTGAATGGGCAAAGGCTGCCGGGCTGCTGGGAGCTCCCACAGACTCCTTGCGGGAATGGGTACAGTCATGATGGTTGGAGGAATGAGGGTTGTTGCAGCATAGATTTAGGGAATTTTTTTCTTTGGAATGGTGCCATGCACAACTGTTTTTTATTATACAATCTTTTGTTGTTAAGGTCACGAAGCTCCCCCTCTGTCCATCCTCGGGAAGGAAAAAGAAGGATGCATAAAGGCCTGCACCCTTCCTTTTATTGCCTCTGGTTTCCAGAGTCGGACTGGGCTGCAGCTGCCTGACGACAGCTGGTCCCTGCAGCCTGGGGCGCCGGCCGCGCGTTCCCGCAGCCCCGGGCCCGACGCGCCCAGCCTGGCCGGGCAGAGCGCTGTGAGGGGGCGGGGGGCGGGGGTGGGCTCCGCGGGGAGGGGCCGGGGCACACCTCCCACCCGCGTGCGCGCGCAAAGGGGCGGAGCAGAGGAGGCCCAGCGGCTCCTAGAGGAGGTGGCCAAGAACGCGTGGCCGTTGACCTGAGCGTGGTCTCATGGCATCTCCTCTGCCCAGTCATCCGAGAATGCGGAGCGCAGCCCCTCTCCGGATGGCCAGGCTTCCTATCAAAGACCCAAGGGGAGAATCAAGGAGGAAAAGGCCTCTTCCTTGGAGGGCAACCCAGAGAGAGCAGTGTTCTGTGTCCAGGGGAGGAGACAAGTTTTTAGAAATAGGTGCGGTCAGAGGGTGGAGAGGTTGAATGGGCAAAGGCTGCCGGGCTGCTGGGAGCTCCCACAGACTCCTTGCGGGAATGGGTACAGTCATGATGGTTGGAGGAATGAGGGTTGTTGCAGCATAGATTTAGGGAATTTTTTTCTTTGGAATGGTGCCATGCACAACTGTTTTTTATTATACAACTTAAAGATGTATGATGGGGACACCATGGAAATACTGTGTACAGCCCCCAGAAATCTTGGAATTCAGGAAGTGTGCCTGGAGAGTCCCTTTTGTTAAACTGTCCTCCCAAGAAATCCTCAGCAAAGAAAATACTTTACTTGAGAGAAGAAAAACTGCTTATAGTTGAGAACATTTGTTTCTTCCCTGCTCTATGTGCTTCCCTGTTTGACTTGCTTACCTTCTTCTTTGGACTGGGTAAAGCCTGGCTCTAAAAGCTTATGTGGTATCCTAATACTAAAAATAGACAAAATTGCTGTGCTGGGATCCAAGCAGGGGTGGCTCACGTTGCTGTGGTGCTCGGGACTAGGTAGAAGGAGCAGAAAGAAACCTTGAGGCACCAAATCCTGAACTGGTCCCGCAAAGTCAGCAGATGATCAGTAAACATTTGGTGTTTATGGGACAGAAAATGGCACCCTACAACCAAAATGGTTGTATGCCTTCACTGTTAGGAATATTTAGCTTTTGCTTAAAGTGCATTGTGTGACACCCCAGAAGGTGGCTTAGAGCGTCAGGCAGAGGCTCAGGAATGCCAGTGTCACGGGGAGGAGAAGATAGGCAGTTCAGGTATGAGCCAGGTTCATCTGCCTCAGGGAGACGGGGAGAGCCAGTTAGTTTCCTGAAACTTTTTGACGGTATGCTGTTCTTGGAGGAATTATTCTTTCCTCTGTCATCTTCAACCTTCCTTTGTTTGGCTTAACTTTTATTTTTGTTGCTGGAAATTCAATGCATTAGGATTTTAAACAAAAATTGAGTTTTATTTATATCCTTTCTGCTCTAATTTTATAGAAGAGGGGACATGTAGGAAGGTCTGTTGAAAATGAGTTTCCCTGCGGGGAGATGCACAGAAGAAGTCTGGGCTTCTGATATCGTAGCCATGGCCTCTCCAGTACCTTCTGTGGCTCTCCTGGAAGCGCGCAGAAGTAGACATTTGTGAGAACAGTGTTCTCATCGTTCAACTGCCTTTGATGGCTATAGAAAGCAAGGTTAGGGGTGCCAAAATGTGACTGTTAAAGTCCTTACTGTACAAAGATTACTAAATCTGCGTGTGGTAAGAGTTGGGTGTGGTTGGGATGAGGGAGAGGTGAAGTAGAAAATACTTCTTCATCCTAAGAAGCAAAAATGAAGCAGTAGCCCTTGGCACACCTACAATGTCCATATTATCATATCCTCTCCCAGAAGGGTGAGCTGCTAAGGAAAGGGGGAGCACGGGTGCCAGGCTATAGGATTGTTCCACTTCCAGCCACTAGTCCTGAAATGGGAGAAAGAGGAGCTGGGCATGACAAGCCATATCCTCCCCTGTGTGCTGGTGCTGACATTGCCATTTCCCACCGGTCCTGTTTCCGTTCTGAGCCTCCTCTTTCCTTCATAGGTCACGAGCCGGGGCTTATGCAGCTGGTAAATTACTACAGGGGGGCTGACAAACTGTGCCGAAAAGCTTCTTTAGTGAAGTAAGTGTTTTTTAAGACCTGTTTTCACTTCTTTGCGTAAATGTTATTGGCTTTCATCCTGAAGCACTTAAGCAAAAATGCGAGATTTCTTATACAGGGCGAAATACTTTTATTTTAAAAGCCAACAATATTAGTTCTGGAGCGCCCTCTGTTCCTTTGATTGCAGTCCAAAACTTTGCTGTTTGTGCTTGTTAAAGCCTGCCTGTCTCTTAGGTGAGTCTCCTAGAAGCAGAGCGGGAGTCAGAGTTTCTTGTGTGATTTTGCAATGGGGTAGGGGTGGGTGGTGGCTCTCAGGAGAAATTTATCCAGAAGGAAGGGGAGTGGAACAGCCCAGGAAGGAGGCAAGCAAAGAGGTAGTTCCAACTGAAGTCTTGCCTCAGCCTAGCTCCATGGAGCTTGAAGTGAATGGCACCTCAGAGTCACTGCAGCTTGAGGCAAGGGACCAAGCTTCTGTACTCCAGTATCCATCAGCCACTGGCTACAGGGAGAAGTGGAGGACATAGCTCCCAGTATTTCTGAGCAGGGGTTGGACCCTGGAGAGAGGGTATGCATGAGCCCTCAGAAAGGACACCTGGGCAGGGTATAACAGCATCTGCTACACTGCCCATCTCTGAGCAGTTGGGTATGGCCAGCTGTCTAAAGCAGAAGGAAGTAGTATTATACAGTGATTAAGATCAGCAGCTTAAGTTTTAATCCCAGCTCTTCCCCTTAACTAGCTTGGGCAAATTTCCTCATCCCTCTAAGCCTGAGAAGCTCCCACATAGGCAGTTGTGAAGATTAAATAAGGTGACACATGTAAAGTATGTAGCCCAGTGGTACCCCGTGAGTGTTTAACTCTGTGCCTTAGTTTCCTTCCCTCTAAAATGGGGATAATAATAGGAGCTACCTCAGGGTTGTTGTGAGGATTGAGTTAATTTATATACAGGCTTTGAGTAATGTCTGTTTCATAGTTCAAACTATTTAAGTGCAAGTTCTTCTTAGAACTATTATTGTGGCTGCCATTGCTGGTTTGTCATTATTTCAGTAGGGTAGTACTGAATATGGCCCTTAAAATCAGGGCTGTAGCAGGTCTCCAGGATTCCTTCCATGATGAGTAGTGAATTGCATGTGCAGCCAAACAAAGCATGTGGGTAGGACGACCTGGAAGATATGACTCAATGCAAATGCTCTTTTCTACACTCCCATTTCTTTCCGTTCACGCACACTGGCCCCAGTAAATTACATATCCATCTCCCTCTGTAATGGGTTTTTATGATTCGCCAGCTGTTCCTAAAGGAGAGCAAGGCTTCTTGAAGTCTTTTTATTATATATTCAGAATGCAAGAGATTGCTTCACCAGAAGTGGGATATGATTATTTATCCGGATTATTCATTTAGAAATCTCTATATTATGTTTATTCAGTATTTTTTCTACCATGGTTTTTTTAAGTCTAAAGATAAAGGTAGAATTTTGCTTTCATATGTAGGAACAGAGGATGCTGTAAACAATATATATATATACATATATGTAGAACATTGTATATAATGTCTTACGTATCTTCATACTTTGCGGCTGTAATGAGGTAGAGTGAGCACAGGGCTGGAGTCCTGACCAGGTCTGAGTAGGTATGACCTTGGACAGAGCCACTCTGCTTGGTCATACCTGCTTTTTGCCTGTTTGTGGCACGTGACATGGTCTGCGATGGCACCTTTAAACGGTGAATGATTTTCACAGGCTGGGGTTTGTCAACATCCTCGTAAGCTACCTTTGCTCTCTCAGGTGTCCTGCAAGGACAGTGGTAATTCCAGGAGGTGATGCTTTCATTTGTCATTTAGTTTCTCTCCCATAGCCTTGTATGGCTTGAAAGGACCCCAGAGACTTAAAAATGTAACCGCCCTCATTTTTAACAGACAAAATGGCAGCTCATAGAGGACAGCTGGGCCTCCCTTGGCCATAGCAGTTAGTGTGGAGCCCAGACAGTTCTAATCTGTACAGATGGGGCCCATGGGCACTGTGCTGGGTGTGCCTCAGAGGGCTTTCCAGAGCCTCGGTGGGGCCCTACGTGGGACCCTGTACAGCAGGTGCCAGTTCAGGAAGCTTCAGAGGCCACAGTCTCAGAGCCCTGAATGGTTTTTCTTCTGGTCCAGCTTTGAGGCTCTTTTTCTTTTCTGAGTGTTTTCTTGTACATGTAAAAAAAAAAACCCTCTGCCACACAGTGATTCATGAATATCTGTTTTTGCTGTCCTGTTGGTCAGGGATATGGACTCACTGAATCTGCTGGGCTGGAACCATTACAGAAGTGTGGGACTGCAACACTGGCAGAGTGGGAGCACCATTAGTTCGCTGTGAAATCAAATTAAAGAACTGGGAGGAAGGTGGATACTTTAATACTGATAAACCACACCCCAGGGGTGAAATCCTTATTGGTGGCCAAAATGTGACAATGGGATACTACAAAAATGAAGCAAAAACAAAAGCTGATTTCTTTGAACATCAAAATGGACAGAGGTGGCTCTGTACTGGAGATATTGGAGAATTTGACCCTGATGGTTGTTGAAAGATTATTGATCGTAAAAAAGACCTTGTAGAACTACAGGCAGGAGAGTATGTTTCTCTTGGGAAAGTAGAAGCGGCTTTGAAGAATCTCTCACTAATAGATAACATTTGTGCATATGCAAACAGTTACCATTCTTATGTCATTGGATTTGTTGTGCCAAATCAAAAAGAGCTAACAGAACTAGCTCAAAAGAAAGGACTCAAAGGGACTTGGGAGGAGCTGTGTAACAGCTGTGAAATGGAAAATGAGGTACTTAAAGTGCTTTTTGAAGCTGCTATTTCAGCAAGTCTAGAAAAGTTTGAAATTCCAGTTAAAATTCGTTTGAGCCCTGACCATGGACCCCTGAAACTGGTCTGGTGACAGATGCCTTCAAGCTGAAACGCAAAGAGCTTAAAACACATTACCAGGCAGACATTGAGCGAATGTATGGAAGAAAATAATTACTCTCTTTCAGCATCAGTTTGCTGCAGGGAGCTCAGATCACATAGGAAAATACTTGAAATGCATGTCTCAAACTGTGAGGCAAACTCTGTTCCTCATATTAAACCTAAACTGTTATTTCTCATGACATCACCATTTTTAACTGACAGGATTAGTAAAATATTAAGACAGAAAAAAAAAACCCTCTGTGATTTCTTTCCACATGGGTTTACAAGGAAATGGAACAAATGCTAAGGACAGGAATGGAATGCTAGCCACATGTGTAATTTTAAATTTCCTAGAAGCACATTAAAGTAAGTACAAAGAAACAGGTGCAATGTATTTTACTTAATTAAATTAATCTAAAATATAATTTTGATGTGTAATTAATATAAAAAATAATGAGATGTTCTACATATGAATTTTTTAATTCCAAGTCTTCAAAATCTGGGCACATTTTACATTTATAGGATGGTTTAATTCAGACACTAAAATTTTCATCTGAAACCCTTGATCTGTATTGAGATTTCATAAAAATTTATGGTTGAAAAAGTAGCTTTACATACCCAAGTTGTCCCACATACATAAGTTTTTCAGTTACTGAGTCAGATACCAAAAAATCATTTTTCTCTAATAGTTACATGCACACTGACAAAACTGGTTCCTATTTTTAGATGAGTTGATTTGACTTTTCAAAACTATGTCCAAGTGAAATAAATTCACCAACTCTTGTGTCAACTCAGTATTATTAATAGTTGAATTCAAAAGGAAGTACTGAATAAATTGAAAAGAAACTCTAAACGTAACAGTATCAACAAAATGTTCTTCAAATTTGTCTTTAATTTTTGCAGCCAATTTGCATAGTGCTATTACCATTGAAATCTTCTGCATATTGAATCATGTTATAAGAACATCTAAAACATTACTATTGATTTGTATTATGAGGTTGGAACATGAATTCTCACACCTGTGTTGTTAGGTCATAAATAAGAACTTTTCCCTTCCCTGGAGCTTTTAAGTTGAGCTTATTTATATCGAGGTAGGTATAGGTGAGAAAACCTAAATCACACTGCCGTTTTTTACCTTTAATTATTGAATGAAAACAGTGATTTGGCAAGCATTCCTTTTATTGCCAAAAAAATCTGAATTGGAGTTAACAATACAGTAAATCTTTGTAAAACTCCCTTCTCAGTGAGTGAGCACTGGCAAAGAGCACAGCATCATTAAATTCATTGTCTTCTGTTTCTTTCAACAGTTCCATACTGGGAATCATTGTAGCATTTGCAGGGATATAATAACCCATTTTAGCAACTGTATCCATGATACTTTTCCTGCAGAAGGCTTCAGAAATCTGAGTGCAAATGTTTTCAATATTTATCATTGCAATGAAGTAAATGTTTCCACTATGTATCATAGAGTAGAATGAAGCAGTGAAGGAAGCATCAGTCTATTAAAATCCCAGTAAGTCAGATTTTAACCCAAGCTAGCTGAATGAAGTACTGCCTGTCATTATAGAAACTGATTTTTCACATGGAGGTGAAATTCCTCTTTGACAGATATAAAAGACTCAAGAATATCTATACTATGAGGTTGATATTTTTAGGCTGTAATTTGACACTATTTTTTCATGTATTTGGAAATTCTTTGAGGCCACACATATTCAAAGTATTAATTGGGCAATGTCTCATGTCATACAGCTCAACTAAAGCTAAAGAAAAATATTTAAGATTTTTCAAATTTTGGATCAATCTTTGATGTTATCAGAAACATTTTGTATTCTAGGGGCAATGTTTGTGACTTAACTAAAAATTGTTTACTTTTTGTAGAATATCTTTTTTAGTCTTTTCCTCAAAATATTTCCTTTAGGTTTATTTCCACCTCTAAAACTGTGTGTGTGTGTGCATGTGTGTAAGAGACCAAGCCACTGTAAAAGTGACTGAAGTTAAAAGTTCAGAGTCTATTAAAAATTTGTTAAAAAATTTTTTTGTTGGGTATTGAATTCTGATTTTAGCCACTAATGTCACTGATTCTTTTCAATTGTTGAGAGGAAACTGCTCTTGAAATTCATTATGTGTCTGCTGAAAATGTCTCCTTTCTACAGCAAATAAACTGCTTTTTTGTTTCACTCTGTCACAGCAGATTGCAAGTGCTGCTCATTATGAAATTTGGGACATCTTTCTTTTTGTTTTTTTCCCTTTACTGTTCTGGTCATGGTTCTAGCTCCGCATCCCCACTCATTTCTATGTCAGGCATATGCCTTTGTTTTAAATTTAAAAATTTGTCATACTTATTTTTGGACTAGAAAAATAATTACATTTTATTTTGGTTACAAATTTTGTTTTACGTAACTGTCATTATAACTCACGCTGTCTGCATAGTAAACACATTATAGTGCATGGGGGAAAACCATCACTTGGACTGAATCAATCCATTGTTCCTGAGTAGAATAGTCATGTGCTGATGTGTAATACTAGGAAACAACACGTGTGCCTGACATGCACACTGCAATACAACAGAAATGTCTTAGGTCCTGCAGTGGTTAAAGTGAAAGGGCATCCTACCAAAACAGTGAAGTTATACTTAGTGGGAAATTTTTAAATGTTTCTGTTTCTAAATTGAAAGTAAACAAAATTGAATATTCTGTTCCGGAGTTACATTGGCCACATCCGAAGTGTTCCGAAGCCCCTTGTGACTAGTGGCCGCCATAGCGGACGATGCAGATAGAGTTGAACATTCATTGAGTTAGAAATTTACTTATTTAGTGTTCTTTTGAGTTCAAGTAACTTTTCAAATCTGTTGCTGTTGATTTAAAAATAACCTTATTTTAAATCTCAATTTCTGCCATTTGCTGAGAGTGGGTCTTGTACCTTACCCAGGCTTAACATTAATGGTTCTGTTCCAGACAGACTAAAGAGCACAGCATAGGGAAAGCCCGCAAAGGTCTTTGGGTGCGCTCCTCCCTGCCTCTGATTCCTGGGAGTAAGGGTAGGTTTAGAGTTAGTTAGGACTTGGGAGTTTGGGGCTTGCATGATGACTGTTTCTTACTACCTGTGTGATCTTGGGAAATTGACTTCTCTGTGACCCACTGCCTAATCTCTGACATGTGATTCTTATGCCCCCTACTCCAGGGGTCCCAGGAGAGTAAATGCAGTGGGAAGCCCTTTGTAAGCCCTTATATTTATTGTCTTCCGGGGGGCTGACTTTATCTTCCCTTGTGTTATGTTATTTGGGGGGCAAGAAGTATGTTTGGTTATGAGCACTGGAGTCCTTGACCATTAGAAAGATTCCTCCTTTATTCTGTCATCGAAACCAGGGTGAGCTAAAAAGCAAGGAATGAAGAACTATAATAAGTCTGTAGATAATTCAAATTCCTAAGTAGTAGCCTTTTCTGTCCAGAGGGTTGGGCCAAGATAGTATTTCTGCTAGCAAGCCAAATACTTTACCTAGTTCTCCACTTTGTTTTTGTTGTTTTTTTTTTTAGTATGGATCCAGTTCAGCCACAGTGTATTTCTTGAAAAGTTGTTGGACCAGGATTATTTCAAGTTTCTTTAGAGAAGCATTTTAAAAGGTGCATTTTCTAGACATTAAGCCCCTTTTGAATCGCCTGAAACATACTTTTAAGCTTGCATGTAGTAGCTATGTGCTGCCTACTCCTGCGTTAGAGGTCCACCCAGGGAGGCCAAGAGCAAAGAGTGAGGTAAGAAGGAGATCAGATCCTGGCCCTGATAATGCTCTGCCTCAGCTGCAGGGGAAAGTGCCATCTTTTCTGAATAAAGTGACAGGGTATAGTAAAAAGGGAGACTGACCCTCTGTCATCTGCCAGGCTAATCAAGACAAGTCCAGACCTGGCTGAGTCCTGCACATGGTTCCCAGAGTCCTATGTGATTTATCCAACTAATCTCAAGACCCCAGTTGCTCCAGCACAGAATGGAATCTACCCTCCTGTCAATAGCTCAAGGACAGATGAAAGGGAATTCTTCCTGGCTTCTTATAACAGAAAGAAAGAAGATGGAGAGGGCAACGTATGGATTGCAAAGTCATCAGCCGGTGCCAAAGGTGAGTTGGCATTGCCCCCTTCTCCCTTTCCTGCATGCTCCCCATGTGCTTTGTTCAATCCTTTGTTAGATTTTAATGATGTCTTCAGATGAATGACTATTCTAATCTGAGTCCTCAAGGGTAGCGGTCACATCTAGTTACATAGTTTTAGGTATCTAACTACTGATAACTTGTAAAGATACATCTCTGGCCCAGGTGTTTCCCCTTAGCTTGGCATGCAGTGTGGGGCATTTTAAACTTGACCAGTCTGTTCCAGAGCTCTTCATTCCCTTCCCACCTTTACCCACCCCAGCCTGCCTCTCTTTCAGTTTTCCCACTTAGGGTCTCATCCCACTGTTCACCTAGTCTCTGAAGCCCAAAGCTGCGGAGTCATCCTGGGCTGCTCTTTTCTTTACAACTGGACCTAATGTGGCGGCAGGTCTTACTAGCTCTACCTTCCTCCTGGGTTCTGAACTAGACTTTTTCTTGCCATTTCCATTGCTCTCACTTGAAGTCAAAGCCACTTGCCTCTCTGGTCTATGTAATTGCAGGGTCTGCTTATAGCCAATTCTCGGAGACACAATAATGTTTTAAAAACATAAATCTGATCATGTCAGATGATCTCCCTGCTCCAGACTCACCAGCTGGCTTCCCAATGCAATTAGAATGAACTCCAGATTCCCGGTGATAGCATGCACCATCTGACATTTGCTCCTAACTCTGATCTCATCTCCTATTCCCAGCCTTGCTCACCATACTGTAGCCACGCCTGTCTAGTTTCCTGGAAAAGCCCGAAATTGGTCCCTGCACCAGGAGCACACTTACATGGATTATGGGCTTTTCTCTCTCAGCTTCAGTGTTGCCTTACCAGAGGAGGCTTATATGATCTAAAATAGCTTTTATGCCTGTTGCTTTCTCTCCTACCCTGTTCTTTTTCCTCCTTGAACTAACGTCTTCCTAGCGCTTTATCACATATCTCTTTACCTGTCCATCTCCCCTGTCATATTGTGAGCTCCGTATAACACACACTTTCTTTCTTATTCATCTTTGTACCCTCCCCATAGGCACTTAGTAAATGTGTTCTGAGTGAATGCATAGAAGGAATGAGGTTTATAATATTAACTGAGGCTAAAATATAGGCAGTTCAATGTAATGAGCACATAAACACAGTCTCTCTCTCTGTAACTACCATCGTATGCTCTTTTAAAAACCACTCCATTTTGAACTTACTTCTTTTATTGCCTTGGAAGACCACCTGGCCATTGGTACTCATTTCTGTCCCCGGTCCAGTGGGCCTCCCCTTCTTTTCCACCAACCATGAGACAGGAGGGCATCACATGGAATCTCCTGAAAATGGGAGAGTTGGACTCTTGCCATGAGCCAGGTACCTCACCTACTTCTCTCTTCCCTCTTCTGACCTCTTGTCAAGTACTGTCCCTTAGCTTGGTTCTAACAGAAAATGGGGGAATCGGAAGAGGAAATAGACATTCATCGTATTCTAGATTACTCCTGTGGATTTGGGCCTAAGGCAGGAAGGCCACTGTAAGGACACCTTGTGTCATGGAGCCTTGATTGGAGTGGTAACTGGGAGCGAGGCAGGGTCCTTGGTGGAAGGACATGTCAGGTCGCAGCAGCGATCCCCCATGGACACCCCTTGGAACCTTACCAAGACAGTACACAAGGTGACGCTCAGCACCAGGGAGCAGTAAAAGGAGAACAAAAATACCAGAGAAGGAAGTAATTGCGCTTTAGGAGTTAGGTGGTGTGCATTTGTTTTGTTTGGGAACTACAAAATGAAGCCAATAGAGTCAATGAATGGCTTTATTTTTGTTAAACAAATATTTAGTACCTGTTACCTGCTGAGTAGAGTTGGCTCAACCTTCACACTCTATCCAGTAGCAAGAACCCCTGTGCACCATCCCCACCACCCATCTTGGGTCTGAGCTACCCTCCCCTTCACCTGGAGCACTGCCTTCTGAACTCCTGCCCTAGGCCATTTTCCAGAGTCTACACAAAATACAGCAGACAGCCTGTCAGAGCGCAGTCAGACCATGTCATGTCTGTGTTCACTGCTGTCTCCCTGGGGCCAGGGCAGCGGCACCGGGTACCCAGCAAAGATTCAGTCTGTGTACTGAGTGAGTGAATGAGTCGATGCATGAAGTAATGAGTATTTGGAGATATAGAGATAAATGACATAGACTTGGGTCTCATGCCCTCGTGGACCCAATCCAGTCAGATGCTAACTGTGCATCTATTTCCAGATAAATAGTTGAGAACAGCGACAATGACAACAAAATACTGTAACCTTGAAGCTCCTTGAAGAATTCCAGAGTTCCTTGACAATTTCACCAGGTTTTGTTAGTAAGGATATGCAAAAACAATATTAGAAATACAGTTAACAAACACATGGAAACATGCTACACTAGTATCTAAAACGTAGAAATTAAATGTGGATTTTATTTATCATTTTATATCTATAAAATAAGAAAAATCCTTCAGTGATACTGTCGCTGTAAGTTGGTTGTAAACTACTCCCTTTTTAGTGGTGATACACAGCCCTTTGGTAAAACAGTAGGATAACACAGAGCAAGAGCCATAAAGAGTCTGTGTGCTTTGACCCACTAATCTCATTCCTGAATATTTTAAAAGAAACAAGAGTGATCTATAGCAGAGACATTTACTACTATGTTACCTGTAATAGCAAAATATTATTTGGAAACAACCCATTCCCCAGCATTGAGTAAACAAATATATAATCTTTTGTATCCACACAATGGGATTTTTTTCAGCTGCTAACATAATTGTGAAATTAATCTAGAAACAATGAAAATATTGACAATATAAAGTAAAAAAAATAATATGAAATGAGTTCACTGTTATTGAGCCCATCTTTGGAAGGTAATGAAAAGAAAAACAATTATATTAGGAAATAAGACTATGGGTAACTTTTCTATTTCACTTTAGTGTCATCTTTTTTCAATGATAATAGTTTTTTAAAGTTATAAAAATGTATCTGTCCTTTCACTTTCCCATTATTTTTCCCACCTACCAGCCATAGGTATACTATTTTTCAATGGGAAATATTTTACATAAGGAAAATAAGGTTAGAGTGTATGGGAAGAACAGCCAGATTATGGAGACAAGACATCAGTAAGTGACAGAGATAGTTTCAGGGCATTAGTTTGGTCAGATAGTGGTGTTTTAGGGTGGTTATTCTAGAAGTAGTGTAGTAGAGGAGGAAAGACTAAGGTCGACAGAAAAATTGGCAAATGGAAATAAAGAGGAACCAGGATACCTGAGTGTGGTTTCTGAGGGAGATGAAACAGAATGAGTCATGTTCATACAAAAAGAGAAGAAGGGAGCTTTCCAAGTTGTTTAGCAGTTTCTTTTAAGAGGCTAACCAAATGGTGGAGCAAGTGACAGAAACAGGGTAGTTGGAAAAGGGTTGACTTTTAGGAAAGATGAATCATCAAGTTAATGCACTAAATTAAATTAATTTGTACTGAAACCATGAGACCTGACTAGAGACAAGCTATAAATATAAAGCATGGGTGGGAGGTCCTATGACTAAAAATTCAGTTCAACAAGGTTGCAGGATATGAGATCAACACAAAAATGAAGTGCATTTCTGTATACTAACAGCATGTGGGAACCAAAATTAGAAACATGATACCACTTACAAATCACCTTAAAGAAAATGAGATGCCTCAGTATAAACTTAACAAAACCAGTACAGGATCTGTGTGCTAAAAATTACAAAACAACAATGAAAGAAGTAAAAAAGAACCTAAATAAGTGAAAATGCGTACCATGTTCATGGATTGTAAAACTCAACAAATGTAAAGATGTCATTGCACCCCAAATCGGTCTATAGGTTTAATGTGATTGCTATCAAGACCTCAAACAGGTTTTTGTGTAAACATAAAACTGTTTCTGGAATTCATATGGAAAAGCACAGGCCCTAGAATAGCTTAAACTATCTTGAAAAAGAATGAAGCGGGAGGAATCACTGTACCTAATATTAAAGCGTACTACATAGCTTCAGTATTCAATATAGTGTAGTGTTTGTGGGGGAATGGTAACATAAATCAGTGGAACAGAGAAGTCAAAACAGGCCCCCATATATGCCTACCTGATTTTTAACAAAGGTACAAAAGCAATGCAATAGAGAGAGGAGAGACTTTTCAACAAATGCTGGAGCAGGTGGATATCCATGGACAGAAACATGAGCCACAACCTAGCCTCACACCTTGTGCAAAAACTAAATCAAAATGGATTGTGGACATAAATATAAAGTATGAAACTATAAAAGTTTTCAGAAAAGAAAAAGGAAATAGGGCGAAAAACTCTAAAATTTGATTCCAAAGATATGATCCATAACAGCAAAAGTTGATAAATTGAACCTCATAAAATAAAAAGCTTTTGCTCTGTAAGAGACCCTACTAAGGAGGATGAAAACACAAGCTACAGACTTGGCAAAAGTCTGTCAAACCACATTACCTGACAAAGAACTCATATCTATGATATATAAACAACTTTCAAGACAACAGTTAAAAAAGTAATCCAGTTAGCAGGCAAAAGACATGAGAATGCATTCCACTGAAAAGACTCTACAGATGAAAAATAAGCAATTGAGAAGATTTCCAATATCATTAACCATTAAGGGAATTCAAATTAAAACCATAACTACACCCATGTTAATTTTAATTTAATTTACTAGTTTTTATTTAAATTAAGAAATAGTCATGACATGAAATGCTGGCAAGGATCAGGAGAAACTAGATCACTCATACAGTACTGGCAGGAATGTAAAATGGCACAACCATTTTGGAGAACAGTTTGTTAGTTCTTCAGAAAGTTAGACAGAGATACCGTATGACCTAACAATTCCAATGCCAAGGTATATTCCTGAAAGAACTGAAAAAAGCATGTCCACACAGAAACTTCTATGCAAATCTTCACAGCAGCATTATTTATAGGAGCCAAAGAACTGTGGAAACAACCCAAATGTCCATCAGTTGTTGAATGGATGAACCAAAGGTGGTATATCCATACAATGGAATATTATTGTCATAGGAAGGAGAAACAAAGTACTGATACATGCTGCAACATGGATGAATCTTGAAAACATTATGCTAAATAAAATAAGCCAGACACAAGAAGGCCACACACTGTAGGATTCCATTTATATGAACCATTCAGAACAGGCAAATCCATAAAGACAGAAAGTAGATTAGTGGTCATCAGGGACTAGGGTGAGGAAGGAATGGGGAGTGACTGTTAATGGATTGGGTTTTTGGCTGAAGTGATGAAGATGTTCTGAAATTAGATTGCAGTGATGGTTGCAAAACTCTAGAATGTATGAAAAATTATCGAATTGTACACTTTAAAAGGGTGCATTTCCCAGTTTGTAGACTATTTCTCAATAAAGCTATTAAGGATATTATATCATTTATTTAATATTGATGAATACCTTCAGTATATCCAATTTTTTTCTGTTATGATGCTGCAGGCAATCTACCTGTACATTTGTGTGTATGCCCTAACCCCCTGATATTTCTATAAGATGTAGTGTTAGAATGGGTTTATTGTCATAGGAAGTACATAGTCTTTATTGTGGTAGCCAGTGACCAATAGTCGTGTGGCATTTAGTTAGGGTGCTCAGATATTTTGAATGTCTGTGACAATGGAATGTCATGGTTGGAACCTGCCGAGATAGTGATTGCAGTCCTCTGTTTAGAAAGTGTTGGATAGATAACCCTGGTGCTCTTGTGACACAGGGAGTGTAATGGTTTGGAGGAATGAAGAGATGGAGAAAGAAAAGAGGAACAGGCCCATAAAAGCTTCCTGTCAGTTTTCTCCTGCTGTCAGTACTTCCTTTCTGGCTTTTCGAGAGCTTTTCCCCTTGAAATGAACTGGACTGGTTTCTGTTTGGATTTTGCCCTGTAGGGGAAGGCATCCTCATCTCCTCAGAGGCTGCAGAGCTCCTGGATTTCATAGACAACCAGGGCCAGGTGCACGTGATCCAGAAATACCTTGAGCGCCCTCTGCTCCTGGAGCCAGGTCATCGCAAGTTTGACATTAGGTAACACATCAGAGTCTGGAGTTGTTTTATTCGTCTGAAAAAATGCAGTGGTGTGTAATGAGGATGGTAACATGGAATGTGAGGAAGTATTTCACCATGCTTAATATCTTACTAAAATTGAGCACAGCTGATTGGAACTGAGCTTCTCTACCTAATCTTCTATTTTTCTTTTAATATTTTTCTGTTCTTTCTAGAAAATGTTATTAAGATTATGGATTTTATATTTTTATATTCTATTTAATGAAAATGACTCATGGATCCATAGAGAAGTGTATATATGGGACTTGCTCATGGAAGAGGCTGAGAGATGCACATAAAACACATAATCAGATACAACAGATCATGTGATCCAGCCAAATAATCTGTCCTTACTACATTATTTGTGTCCCACTTTTTAAGGATTTCATGAACACACCTAGGTTTTTGGATTTTAACTTCATGAGCAAAGGGCCTGGAGTAGAGAAAGATGTTGTATGGTGCTTTCCAAAGAAAACAGGCCTGTCCCCAGCTTGCCCTTGGCCCCCATCTCATCAAGGACGCAGTCTTCCTGATTCCTTCACAATGACTTGCTGCTTCTTGAATCCTATGTCAGATTGGCTTCGGAATGAACAGTCTTCTTCTTAAGATGACTGAAAGATCAAACATAACAAATGAAGGCTTTATAGATAAACCTTAAAAAAACAACTAGATCTCTTCAAAAAGCTGCCTCTTTTGAACAGATTAAAGTGTCCTTGTCACTTATGATGAAATGTTTTGTTTTCCTCATTATAGTGTAATCCACTCTCTTAACTAATTATCATGGCTTGCCTCATATAATTGTAGAACCTACCTCCTTCCTCTGCTTCACTCCAAAAAAGTCAAGGTGTGGGGATAATATATATGATACGGAGAAACTTGGGATAACTTGAGTAAAGCAGTGCTTTTATTTTCTTGCAGAAGCTGGGTATTAGTGGATCATCAGTATAATATCTACCTCTACAGAGAGGGTGTGCTTCGGACTGCTTCAGAGCCATATCACGTTGATAATTTTCAAGACAAAACCTGCCATTTGACCAATCACTGCATTCAAAAGGAGTACTCAAAGAACTACGGGAAGTATGAAGAAGGGAACGAAATGTTCTTTGAGGAGTTCAATCAGTACCTAACAAGTGCTTTGAACGTTACCCTGGAAAGTAGCATCTTACAACAAATCAAACATATAATAAGGTACCTTAATTGTCTCTTTTTTGGTTATATGTACCTTGAAGAAGTTTTGGAAGCTTGTGCCTTTCAAGAAGTGATTCTAGTTAAGTTGTCTAATTAAGGGACAGAAATATTTGTAATAGATGTATATTATCCTTTCAATATCTGTAGTGTCTGTAATATGTCACTGCTTTCATTCCTTATATTAGTAATTTACATCATCAGTTTTACTTGGACAGATTTTCTAAAGGTTTATCAATTAACATTTTTTAAAAGTCGGCTTTTGATTATTGATTTTCTCTACTATTTTTGTTTTCTGTCTATGATTTACGTTCTTTATTACACTTTCCTTTGTTTTTTTTCCTCATTTCCTTAAGGTGAAAGTTTAGATCATTGATTTGAGAGCTTTCATTTTTTTTTTAATATAAGTATTTAATATTATCCATTTTCCTCTAAGTACTCATTAGCTGCATACATTGTTTTCATTTTCATTTTATTAAAATATTTTCTAGTTTTCCTTGTGACCTCATCTTTGACTTAAGTGGTGTTTAGAAATTTTGCTTACCTTCCAAATATTTGGGGATTTTGCAGACATGGCTCCTGTTGCTAATACCTGCTTTAATTCCATTATGGTCAGAAAACATGGTTTCATGTCTTTAAAATTTGTTAAAGTTTGTTTTATGGCCCAGAATATGGTCCATTTTAGTGAATGTTTTATGTACATTAAAAATAATGCATGTTTATTCTGCTATTGTTGGGCAAACTGTTCTGTAAATGTGAATTAGGCAAAGGTGGTTGTAGTGTTGTGCAAATCTTTTGTATCCTTGCTGCTCTTCTGTTCTTTGTGGTCTATCCACTATTGAGGGAAGAAACACTGAAGTCTCCAATTATACTTATCAATTTGTCTGTCTTCTTTTAGTTTTGTTAGTTTTTGCTTTATATATTTTGAAGATTTGTTGTTAGGTATATATGCATTTAGAGTTATTATCTCTTTTTTGGGGAATTAATGATTTCATTATGTAATTTCTAGATCAGCAGGGGTTTTTTTTTAGCACTTTGAAGGTGGAATATCATTGTCTTCTGGTTTCTGTCTTTTCTGTTGAGCCAAAATCTTAGTTTTGCTCTTAATGTATCTTTTCTCTGTTTTTAAGATAAATTTTTATTGACTTTTATAAAACACTGTGAAATGTGTATAGTTTCCTTCATACTTATTCTTGCATAGGTGTCACAGTGCTTCTTAAATCTGTGGCTTCAAATATTTTATCTGTTTTGGAATTTTCATGGCCATTATCTTTTCAATTACGGCTTTTGTGCCAGTCTTCTTTCCTTCTGGGTCTAATTACATGGATAGTAATCCTTTTCATTGTGTCTCACATTTCTCCTATGGTTTTTAATGTATCATTTTATCTCTTCCTTCAACTATTGAAACCTATTTAAAAAGTTAAGAACTGTCAAGGTCTGCTGTTAAACTCAGCTATTGAGTTATTTTAGCTATTGTACTTTTCATTTCTAGAATTTCCATTTGACTCTCTCTTTTTTCTTAGATTACAGTTCTCTTGTGGAATTCTCCCACTTGTTTTATATTTTCTTGAACATATTAATGATTTATCAGATTACTTATCAGATTACTCTAAGATCTGAATTACTTATAGCAGAGGTTAGCAAACTATGCCACAGGGGCCAAATCCACCCTATAGCTTATTTTTATGTAGCCCATGAGGTAAAAATAGTTTTTATATTTTATAAGGTTTAGAAGAAATAGACTGTAACAGAGATCTTATATAGCCTGCAAAACCTAAAATAATTCCTATCTGACCCTACGTAGAAAAGTTTGCCATCCCTGGCTTATAGGTCTTATTTCTGCTTTTCTCTCAGTCCTGTTTCTTACTATGGCTGGGAATAATTGTTTGGTGCTATTATTCATTTATTATAGTTTACTAAATCCAGTAGAGATTTTTAAAAATTGAGGTATAGCATGCATAAAGTCTGCAAATCTTAAGTATACAGCAATGTGAATTTTTCCTTTTGCATACACTCACCTACTTGTAACGGAATCAGGATATAAAATATTTATAGCACCCCAGAAGACTCCCTAAACTCCCAGACAAAGCCACTCTTCTAACTTTCATCATTAATTCCTTTTGCTCGTTCTTATACTTTATGTTAATGGAAGTATACTGCATTTCCTGTTTGTGTTCAACTTTTTTCACTATTGTTTCTATGGGTATCACCCATATTGTTGCTCATAGCAGTAATGCGGCCTTTTTTACTGCTGTGTAGTATACTATGTGTGAATATTCCACAGTTTACCCCTTCTATAGCTGATGGACATCATAGTTGTATCTGTAATATCTTAGCCCTGTAATCTACCTGAATTGTTCTGTGTCAGGTTTCATGGCTATCCCATTGACCCAGGACCATTTGTGCATAAGGCTGTCCTTCTCCCACTGCATTTTGATATGCCTTTGTTATAAAATCAGGTAGCTGTTTATGTGAGCGTCTGCTCTGGGATCTCCATTCTGTTCTGTTGGTTTATTATCTGCCCTGTCGTTACCATCCTGTCACAATGACTGAGGCTTTTTCCTTAATATATTTTTACATAGAATCTAGCAGAATAATTATAGAGCTCAGGGTCCCAGGTCTTCAGGGATTATAGGAGGTTAGATTCTGACACCAAATAAATCAAGTACGCTAAGGAAGAATTCCTTAGGCAAAAGATTATTAGATATTTGCTACATCCCCTCCTCCTCATTGTTCTGTTCAGGTCCAGGAGAGTTGCTGCTTTGGTGCTATAAATGCTCTTAACAGCCTTCATGGGTTTTTATTCCCAGCCAGCCTCCTCCTAACCTCCCACTCCAGCTCAAAAAATATGAACATTTTAAAATCTCCAATGATTAAAAACATTATTTTAAGGTGAGTTATTATTAATCTTGAGCTTCAGGCAGATGAAAAAAATAATATTTAATTTTGATTTCATTCTGGCTCTCTCATTTTCTTTTATGTAATGGAGCATTATTATGCTTCTTTTGCTTTTTTCTTCAGCATTGTTGGGTCTTTTCCTCTCTTTTTCCTTTTTCTTTTTTTTTAGCATGAGCTTCTATTCAATTTAACATTTTTCTTAATTATATTTTAAAAGGTGTTTCAATTATAACACAATTAAGGGTATTTTCTCAGAGACAGAGGTAAGATACAGAAACAAAACAAAAAACAAAGCATGATATGTGGCCAGTGCAGGTCAAAGATAAATAGGAGAAGAAATTCTGATTCCAACTGATTCTCAAATGCCTAACTGCCCTAAATTGTTTTGAAAGGGTTAAACATTATAGAAATACTTTGCTTTTTGGGGGGAAAAGAAAGAAAAGGAAATTGATGCCAGGGTGGGTAAAGTGGTGGAAGGTTGTGAGGGGAACAAGACTCTGGCTCTAGGACCACAGAGGCTTCAAATCTTTCAAATCATGAGCCCAGACCTGCCTGTATGGATACATCTCGGAGTTAGTCACATAGAAGCCAGTTCCCAGCACTTTTTCCTTCTAAATATACAATTGTGTAGGAGTACAGCTATCTCTGGTAATCTGAGAGTCAGTCAGCATAGCAGACTTTATTCTAAAATAGGTATTTTGCTCCAACATTCAGTGGAGGGAAAAATCAGGGAAAATCTTCATAAAACAGAAATGGCATAGGTTTTCTAGGATGGTGGTATTGATAATATTTATTATTCATAAGTTCCCTGTGTAATTATCTCATAGAACCACCTCAGCAATGCGAGTAGCCATTATTTTTACCCCTGACTTTATGGATAAGGAAATCAACTTTTGGCTCAAAGAGGCTAAAAAACTTCAAGATTCTGGCCTCGGCAGCCTGACCCTGGACCTCGTGTGCTTACTCAGTTTGTTTCTGAGATTTGCTTCCAAATTTCTTCTGTGTTTCATTTTTTCTGAGGTTTTTCCAGTTTTTTCAAACAGTGGTTGATATTAATACTAATTCTGTTCTGCATTTGAATTTTTAGTTTCAGTGTACACAATTATTAAATCTTTCCATTAGTAATGATTTGGCATTAAAACTGGAAATAGTGAAATAAATGAATGAGGCTAAATATATTGCAAATTCTGCTCTTTACCAAGTGGGAGTCCATTTCTTTAATACAGCAAAATACATGGAAGTGTTTTATTTATTATGAACACATGTGGCAGCAACCCCCCTGTCAGAGGACTCCACTTTTACAGGGGCCCCAGCCACTCAGCGCCGTGTTGGGAAAGCAGGCTCTACCTGAAAGAACATGACTGGTTGTGGAGTTTTCTAACAAATAGCTTGATGAGTAGCATTGTCTTGAATGAGCTATTGGTAATATATTTAAGAGACAATTAAGGCAAAGCCGTTGCTGGCACATTTGATATAAAGTCATCTCCCCACATCTCCCATTCCCCCATCCTCAGTGAACTCCTTTGCTCTGCCCGCAGAAGCTGCCTCATGAGCGTGGAGCCCGCCATCAGCACCAGGCATCTCCCCTACCAGAGCTTCCAGCTCTTTGGCTTCGACTTCATGGTGGATGAGGAGCTGAAGGTCTGGCTCATTGAGGTCAACGGAGCCCCTGCTTGTGCTCAGTAAGCCTGAACACCAGTGTTTGACAAGCAGGAAGGTGGTCTGTAGTGGGGATGGCCTGGTGGGCAAGGTGGGGCGTTCCTCTTACCAAAGTGTTGGACCATGGGTCCCTCGACTGCTGCTAGAGACCTTTGGCAGGACCCTGGCCAGTAGAGGGGCTTTGCTGAGCCACCTCCTTTCCCGTTTCCCCATGTGGGTTCAGCAGTTGTCTGAGCTCAGGTCTGTGTAGCTGCTATGAGGATTTCAAACAAAGCTTGTAACTGCCAGAGGAGACCCTCTTTTATGACCAGTTGAGTGAGCAGGTCTTGTGGGTCAGAGAGACAGTGATGAGCCAGAGGTCAGGGGCCTCCTGGGCAGGAAGTGTCTGAGAGGGCACCACAAAGCCCATGGTGCTGGGCTGGGAGGTAAGGCAAGTGTCACTGGCGCCAAGAGGGTGCAGAGCCAACAGAAAGGGGACACAGTGCTCGGGGCCCTTGCTTGGTGCCAGGCTCTCTGGGAGATGCACAGATGAACAGAATCTGTCCTGGAGAGCCTCTGTCCCCCTGGGAGGAGCCTGGCCACAGTATGGTGTGAGTGTCCTGGACCAAGGACAGAGGAAGGTGGAAAGGCAAGTTGGGACTGCCCTGTGAAGCCATATGCCTGTCCCTGCAGCTAACTGGGACTCCTCAGCCGCTCCCCAGCCCGCCAGCCCCCACGCTGGGCCCCGGGTCACCGTTGTGAAGGATGCCTTGGGCAGGGGAGGACTAGGTGAACAGAGATTGCAGACTGGGACAACTGCTTTTATAAGGGATAGTAAGGGTAATATAATTGAGCAAAGGCCCCTATTGGCAGGTGACGTTTGAACTGAGCTCTGAAGGAGGACATGGTCTAAAGGGTGGAGGAGAGCGAATGGCCGTGCCCGCCTCCACAGGTCTGTTTCCTCTCGTCCTCGAGAGCTGAGGCTCAGCCCTGCACTGGGCTCTAGACCCGCTGTTCCCTGCCCCCCACCCTTGCCTCCTCCATTAGAGTCCTCCTTTCTTCCTCTTTGCCTTAGTTCCCATCAGGTGCGCACAGCAGATTGCCAGATTGCCTCTCTGTGCACAGCCATGCCGTTGAAAGCGGTTTTCCTTTCCTCTGCTCGCGGCCCTGCTCTGGTCCGCTTCTGGCTGGCTTCCATCCCGGCCACCTCATAGGTATTGTCCTGGGCGGGACCCCAGCTAAGTCCACACTGATGTGTCCAGTGGCCCTTTCTGTCCTTCCCTCCCTGGACCTGTCAGCGGCACTGGAGGCAGCTGACCCCGCCAGGCTGGGCCGCCCTTCTGCAGGGCTTCTGACACACCCTGTACCCAAAGGACCTGAGGAGGTGTGGGCCAGACGGTCTCCTGCTCCTCACTGCCAGCCTGAGCCAGTGCCTCAGTGCTCTCTCGGTCACACCTCCTCTGCACGGATGAAATTCAGTGTCATGATTTTAGATCCTCCGACTTGCATCGCCGCTGGGTGTTCAGACTGGTGTCTGCACCTGCACCCCCAGGCTCCTGCAAGGCCGTGTGTGGATGTGTGACATCCGCAGGGGCACCTCCCATCAGGCTCACCCACCTCAGTGCATGTCCCTCTCCCTCTGCCAGGAGCAACAGCCGGCATCCTGGCAGAGACCCCACGCCCCCTCCCTGGCCCCCTCGGTCCTGTCCCCCGGGGCCTTGCCTGTTCTGCTTCTACCTTCTGCTCCCACTGCCCTGCCCTTCCATGGCGCCTCCATCGCTGTGGAGGCTTTTGCAAAGAGCCTTCTAACTGGGTTCTCCACCTCTGCTCTTGCCCTGACACCCCACCACAGGCCTCTTTGTTATGGTCCCTTTGGAAGTGGGAGGCTGTGTGGCTTGGCCACGCTAAACAGTTGAAAACAGGACTTGAAATGAGTAGACAGAGGGGTGGGGCTGGGGAACTGCGGAGAGTGGGGAGAACAGGAAGAGCAGGGATCTGGCAGGACAGACAAAAGTTAGCCCACAGGTGCAGCTTTCCCGCAGTGATCACGGAAGCAGGGCTTTTCAAGAGCCAGGGGGCCTTACAAGAGGCTGGGACACAGAAGTACCAGCTTCAAGGGTGGCAAAAAGGGACGGTGGGAGAGAAGGTTCTGTGATGGGGAGGATGCTGGCTGTGGTTTGCCATTGTATTAGATGTTGAGTGGAGATTGGCATATAGCCTCCAGGAGTCGGTCAGTACATGAAGACCTCTGTTCCTCCAGGCCGGGCCGGCCTGCTCTTGCCCTTGGCTCCAGCTTCCTGGATTCCAGATGTGTCTTGAGTGAATTGGTGGGGGCACATCTGGCCCAGAGCATTCTCAGATGTGGGTTTCCTCTTCGGACCCCATCTCTGGATTTTCAGGTTAGAGTTGGTCCTGAGAGAGCCGGTTCTGGGGACTCATGTGCTGCCCCATGAAACAGGCAGAAGTCCTGTAGGGGTAAGTGGCCATGGGAGACAAAGGGCCACACAGCTGCTCTGGAGACTGGATGGGAGGTTTTGTTCCTTAACTTTTCTTCTTCGGTGGTTCCATGGACTCTGAACGGAGTCCAGACCAACTGGACAGCATCAGGGCCCTACATACAGTGCCCAGCCCCGGCCTTGTCTCCAGCCTTACACTGCAGTGACCCACTGCCACAGACACCCTGAGCTCTTTCTCCTTGGCACAAGGCACATGCTATGCCTTCCGTCTGCACTGCCCTCCCCGCCACCCCTCTCTCTGTCTTCCTGGATCTGTCTCCCCTCTTCTTCCACCCTATCATCCACTCCCTGGCTTCACTCATTCTCCAGGACTCAGCTTTGCTGTCAGTCCTGGGCATTTCCTAACATCTGGACCACACTGAGTGGATGCTTCCCCTCCATGTGCACCCACCACAGACAGACAGGATGGCTCTTATACTCCACTGAAATGGCCTGTCCTTTCTGCCAGAGCAGAAGCTGTCTGTGTGTTCCCCTCTCACATCTCCCAGAAATGTTACAGGTTTGCTTTATCCTCAGACAGGGCCTCCTGCAGCATTTGTATGTACAGTGAAAACCAGTTTTATAAATGTGGTCAGGAGATGAAATATCTAGGGCATATTCTGGCAGAAAGAACTTTTATTCTTTGCTTGCACTTTGATGATCATCTTCAATGCTATTTTTTTGACCCATTTCAGGAAGCTTTATGCAGAACTGTGCCAGGGCATTGTGGACATAGCCATCTGCAGTGTCTTTCCGCCCCCAGATGCAGACCAGCAGCAGACCCAGCCAGCTGCATTCACCAAGCTGTGACGAGGGAGGTGCCCAGAGCTGCCGGAGGAAACACGGGGTCCTGCTCCGGGGGTCGGTGAAACGTCTGGATTGCTCAGTATAAAGCCACAGTGGCAGAAAGAGAGGCAGCTGGCAAAGATGTGATGAAAGAGGCAGTATGAGATGAAAAGCAGTTTCTGTGTGGAGTGGCTGCTCTGGGGATCCCAGGCAGAGCTCTCAGGGCTGCTGTTGAGACTTGGAAACGCAGCCAGTTGCTCTGAGCAGAGAGCAAAATATTCTTCTAAGGTGAAGAGACAGCGATCTGATGATTTTAAGTTCCCACGCTTAAAGAAATCTGACTTTTATCCTAAGGCAGCCTCGTGCGCAGTGCCTCTCCTGCCCGGGGATTGCAGACCGCTGGGCCTCTGGTTGGTGGCTATCCCCTGCTGCAGCCTTAGTGCCTTAGCCCCGTGCCCAGCTGAAACCCTTCTGTCCAAGACAGGCATGGGGTGTCATAGCATTTGGGAGGTCGCTGATGTGTTCCCCACTTGTCCCCCTCCACGACACTCTGCCCATGAAACCTGGACGAGCACGCACCAGCAGTCCTCGGTTTGGGGCTGTGTAACGCCTCGCAGCAAAGGGGGGGTTCTTCTCATCCTGCTCCTGATGGCGTCCGGCCAGTCAGCTGTCAGGGTTGGTGTGGACTGGGCACCAGAAAGCCAATGCTGCTCTCTGCATGTTTTAGGAACCAAGCAGCAAGTTGGCCGCAAACCTGTAAGCATCAAATAAGCATGAGAGAGAAAAAAACACATCTTCTTTACTTAATAGTTGGGTGTGGTGGGTCACTGAAATTAGATGATTCTCTTATCTTTGTTTTAATCAGAATTCTACATGCACTTTTACAAAGTTCCCTTTGTCCCCCACCCCCCCCCCTTTTTTTTTTGTTTTAATCTTTGTAAAAATGCCTGTAGGGGTCAGGAGAGGCAGGCTTCCCCTGGCTCCAGGCGGCACTGGCCCAGACACAGATGGCTCTCCCACATTTTGTTCCCTTGCTCTCCGGTCACCTTCTGCAGGTTTGGTCCAGGGAGGATTCTCTGCCTACTTGTGCTTCGACATCAGGGAGAGGCTCTGAATGAGTGTATGTCTTGCCTGGGACAGTCTCCTAAAGTGGGAAAGAAGTGGTTTCAGAGCTCCACACAGCATCTTGTAAGCCAATAAATGTGTCCTGAGGTGTAGTTGCCACTTACTGGATTGAAGAATATACTGTAGACTTTTCAGGAGGTCATGTCACTAAGCAGGGAATTTCTGTTCAATGTGAGCTGAGTGAACAGGTCCTCAGGTGTACCTAGGTTCACAGCAGACCCCTTGAGAAGGTACCCTCCTCCAGGCGTGGTGTGGTGTTCCTTCCTGCCTGTGTGTGCTCCATTAGTCATTTCTGTTTGGCACAAGAAAATGAGTCCTGTAGTCGGGAGACTTTAAGAGACGCAGCAGCCAGCATGCCGTCAAGCATGAGATGGGCACCCACAGCGAAAAAAGGAACAGTACAAAAACTGTTTAGTAGGTGTAGCAATGGGTGTGGGGTGAGCAGGCGTTTTGTCGGGTTGTTGGAGTGGAGAAAGGCCCAGCAGGGTTGGCTTTTGTGGGAATTTGGAATTACAAAACAGAAGACCTGGTGGGTACCCAGAATACAGATAATGAAGTTTGTATCCAGAGCAAAATAAAAAAAGTCAGTGGTAAAAATCAATCCTGGAGGCAAGGCAGCTGCTGGGTTAGCATTTGGGAACTTCTGAGAATATCATGGCAAGGTGCACACCCGTTAAGAAAGGTAAGGTGCTGGGTCCTTGGGAAGTCTGTATGGTCTGGTGATGGGGAAAGCAGGGAAGCTTCTGTATTGTTATGTGAATGCAGATTTGTCACAAATGTTTGGAATTAAGTTACAGGGACATCAGATAGTGTTTCAGTTCTTATAGTGGCATAACTAAGAATTCAGATGTCAGGAAGTCTGGATCTCGATGGAGTTTCTAAGAAAACTGAGTCAATAGCATATATGAGGGAAGTAAGGCTTTAAAAGAGAGTTATGCTTCATTCTGCACATCATTTCAAACAAGTCTTAGGCATTTATTTCTGATCAGGTGGGTGGCTGGCTCTGAACCGCTCCATACCCTTCCGCGATGTCCTTGGCACAGATGGTCATGCCTCACTCGGCAGTCAGTCGTCCTACATGTAGTCTGTGTACATGTCACCAGTTGCTGGGGGAGAAGGAGTTACCTATTTGGAGATGGTGCTTATCCAGTTTTGGCTCTCATTTGGCTGCAGTGTTAGACAAGCCCGCTAACCTCTCTGTGCCTTAGTTTCTAATCTCATGGACGACATGGTTGCCTGACCCAGGGACTACCTCAAGGGCTTTTAGTGAGGGCAGATGAAATTAGGAAGATTCAAGACCCTTTAGTACCAAGGATTCCAGCTGACCATATGCTGGAATCACTTGGGAAGCTGTAAAAATGTAATGATGTCCCCACCTTCCACCTCTCCCCTGCCCCTGACTGATTACGTCAGAATCTCAGGCATCAGTATGCTTTGAGATGCCTTGAACCACTGCTTGAGGAAGAAGGACAAACACATTATTACCTTAAAAGAATCACGCAAAGGCCAGCACTTTCTAAAGACTTCCATTTGCAAGGACAGGCACTGAAGCACGACCAGATGTTGGGAGTGCGTCCATAGTGTGGCAAATTCTGAGCAGGTTGTCTCCTTGCTTATCACAGCACATGCAAACTCAGAAGTGCTTTTGTGTACCTAAGTGGCTGATGAAGCCTTGATGGCAAATGTAAGCAGGATTTATCCATCTGCTAAATATGTGCAGAAGTCACTAATTATTGAAAGAAAAGCCCCTTCCCCCACACCTAGCTCCTGTGGTAATTGTCAAGGCCATTTGACCCAGAAGGTTGAAGTGGCTCAGCATCTGTGTGATACAGTGCAGCCGGTGCTGGCATACTTACCAGCTGACAGGATGTGACATTCCACTAGCAAGACCTCAGGATGTTTATCACAGACTTGGATTGTCTGGTCATGCTGGAAACGTACAGGATCCACAGAACCGCAAGCAGCAGTGAAGCCTGAGTGTGTCTTCATGAACAGTGGAGGTGGAGTCAACTAGGGGTGGGCCAGCCCTGTTGTGGGTGTGCTGGGGGCTCTACTAAGAGGACAAGGTGCCATAGGACATCCCCTACAGCACGTGAGGACTGTAGAGAAGTCAGGGATGTGTGTGTGTCTGATCCTGGACATCAAATCTGTACCTAAGAGGAAATGAATTCTGAAATGAAACAATTTATGAATGTTTAAAATGCCTGGAGCATTAAAATAATGATATTTCAAGTGTTTGTGTCCCCTTTGGTTCTGTCATCTTATTTCAGGTATCAACTGTCCAAGAATCTCACTGGTTATTTGACCATGATTCTGTTATCTGGAGGTAGACAGACTTTTTATGTAAAGGGCCAGATAGTAAATATTCTAGAATTTGCAAACCATATAGGTTCTGTGTTGTATATTCTTGTTCTTTTCTTCCTTTTAAAAAATGTTTTTAAAAAAACAAACCTTATAGGTCAAATAAAAACAAGCCAGATGTATGTACTGTTTGCTGGCCACAGCATTTACTCAATACATAAGCCAATAGATTGTCCTTAAAATTGTGATGAACTGCTCCAGGGTGAAGCGTTGAAACAATTTCAGCTGCTAAGATCCAGTCCATCATTTCTCACATCTTGTGCATTTTCTGAATCGATGCAAATTGTGAGGTGAGACCCATGGTTGTGAAGGGCAGTTAATATATGCTTTAAACATGGAGTGAAGGTAGAGGGGCTGCTGAAATGAGTCTACTTCTACAATTGGCCAAAAGGCCAAGAAGCCCTTACTAAAACTTCACAAAAACCAGGTATTTAAGTACCGTAAGTCTCACAGACCTCAGGCATTTAGTCTTGTGGATAGAAAGGGCTTCTTTTATGTGAACTGTAATTAACTTGTAACTTCTTGTGTGATGAGACTGAATGCGTTGGGCTCTTTCCCATGAACAGCTGGCCTGCTTTCTATGGCTGCCTTCACTCCATAAACATCTGGCACAGAGAAGAAATAGAAACCCTTGCTTAGGCACCCCAACCCAAAGAAGTTTCTGATGTGACCTGACACACACACACCAGACTCAGTGGAGATTGCATGGGCAGGGTGCAGGGCAGACATGGACCCGGGCAGGCAGCTACTTAGGATCCTGAGAGTGGACAGGTTCAAAGCCATTGGGAGACTTCTCTTAGAGGCTAGTTCCATTTACTGTCAGTAGCTACCCCTTCTCCCTAAGGAACACAAAGTTCTCCCATGGCCCCAGCAGTCCAGTGATATTTTAAAGAGGTTTTCCCCAAAGCACCCCTAAAAGCAAAAGAAAATGAGCCCCTATTCCATGGGACACTTAGTGGCACAACTTGAAGAGTGCTGCAAGCAAAATTCCTTTTCAAAATTAGCATGAGAGGAGATTAATGGGGATAGTAGAGTAAAAACTGAGAATACTCTCTTCCTTAAAAATCATGAGAACACTGGCAAAAATGGTCTGGAAATTAACCAAAGGCTGCAACAATCCAGGAAACTTTTATCCCCAAAGCCCCACAATCATGGTGAGGCATAGCAGCTCTTGAAGTACAGAACGGGTGGAAGCTCCTCCAAAGCCCCATTCCCAAGTGAATTATTTGACCCATCTGGCAGCACCATGTAAGTCCTCACTGTAAGGCTTGTCTTTACTTGTTTTTCAGCGTATGCCCAGTGTGAACAGTCTTTTCCCCAGTTGCATTTGTTAAAAACAATCAGCAGTAATTGTTTAACATCTCAACTTCCTGAGATGGCTCTGACGGAACAAAAAGCTGACCAAAAATCTTAGAAGATGTGGAATGAGATGTCCATAGGAAGTTTTGAAAAGCTTCAACATATTCCTAAGAATACAGAAGGCCACACACATACATAGGGCTGTATGGCCAGGGGAGACCTGAGTTCTCTCAGCTTTCACCTGTCTGACCAGGAGGATCTGCACAAGCAGGAAATGAAGGCTAGGGCAAAACTGTAAACTGCTTGACTGGGCATGAAGGCACACCCAACATGCATATCTGCATGCACACACGCACATCTGCATGCACAAACACACACACACAGCCTCTTGGCAAACACTGGGAGATTTACTGCTTCCAAACCTTTAAGGAAATCACTGTTCAGTCATTAGTTGACCACTAAAATAACTGAGCAAAGACTTCAGTGACCATACACATCAAAGAAAACAGGCTTTACAGAATAAGTTCAGCAAAGTCACTACATATAAAAAGCAACAACAATAAACACAAGAGAGGGCAGAGTATCTTGTTTGCAAAGTGGCCTCACTATATTATTAAGATGTTCCAATTTTCAACACAAATTATGGGCCATGCAAAATATATATAGCCTTTAGAGGGAAAAGGGAGTAGAAACCATCCTCAAGGAAGCCTTATTACATAAAGGCTTTAAATCAGCTATTTAAAATATGTTTAAAGAACCAAAAGAATAAGAATGATGTCACCACAGAGAGAGAATATCATTACAGAGAAATTATTTTTTAAATAGAACCAAGTTGAAATTTTGGCATTGAAAAGTGCAAAAATGCAAATGAAAATTTCAGCAGAGGTGTTCAAAACAGGTTTGATCTGGCAAATGAAGGAATTATTGACTCTAAAGTAAACAGATCTTCCAGTCTGAAGAACAGAAAGAAAAAAATGAAAAATGAGCAGTGCTCCAGAGACATATATGTATACCAGCATATACATTAACAGGAGTCCTAGAAGAGAGGAGAGAAAGGGGGCAGAAAACATATTGGAAAAAATAGTGGCCAAAAACATCCCAACTTTGATGAAAAAAATTAAAATGTGTCCAAAAGGTTAAAAACATTCTAAGGGTAGACTCACAGAGATCCATACCAACATATCCACTACTAAGATAATAAACATACAGTAAAAAAGATAAAGGAATTAAAGTGTTAGACTAGAAATATCTAACAAAAGAAAAAGCAGTAATGAAAGAATGGGGGAGGTATACGGCACATAGTAAATAGCAAAATGACAGACATAAATCCTACCTTATCAGTAATTTCATTAAATGTAAATGGTTAAACACTCCAATCAAAAGGCAGAGGTTGGAAAAATAAAAAACAAAACCACCATGACCCAACTCTGCCATCTACAAGAGACACACTGTATATTCAAAGATGCAAATAAATGAAAGTAAACAGGAGAAAGATATACTATGCAAATAATAACTGAAAGAGAGTTTAAGTGGCCAAAATAATATTAGACAAAATAGGCTCTAAGAAAAAAAGAGAGGCAAAGAAAGACTTGTTATAATGATAAAGGATTGATTCATCAGGAAGATATAATGGTTATAAATGTATGCACCTAGTAACAGAACCCCAAGATACATGAAACAAAACCTGGCAGAACTGATGAGAGAAAGACAATTCAGCAATATAGTCGAAATTTTCCATCCTCCATTTTCAGTAATGGATAGAACAACTAGTCAGAAGATCATAATGGAAATAGCAAACACTATAAACCAACTAAATCTAACAAAAATCTATAGAATACTTCACCCAGCAATAGCAAAATGCACATTCTTCTCAAGTGCACATGGAACATTCTCTGGAATAAATGATATGCTGGACCATGAAGCCTCCATAAATTAACAATGATTTAAATCATAGTACATAAGTCTCTGATCACAATGGAATATATTAGGAATTATTAAAGAAATTTGGAAAATCACCAATATGTGGAAATTAAAAACACAGTTCTAATAACCAGTAGATCAAAGAAAGAAGTCACAAAGGAAATTAGGAAGTACTTTGAGATAAATGAAATGAAGACAGAACATACCAAAAGTTATAGAATGTAGCTAAAACCAAGCCTAGAGAAAAATGTGTAACTGTAAAAGACTACATTAAAAAAAGATCTGAAATCAATAACTTATCTTCTACCTTAAGAAACTAGAAAAAGAAGAGTAAATTGAGTCCAAAATAAACAGAAATAATAAAGATTAGAGTGAAAAGAAATGGAGAACAGAAAAACAATGGAGAAAATCAATGAGACTAAAAATGGTGCTTTGAAAGATTAAGAAAATTGACAAGCCTTTAGCTAGATTGACCAAGAAAAAAAAAAACTCAAATTAGTGCAATACAAAATGAAAAAGGGGAAATCACTATAGCAAAAATAAAAAGGATTATATGGGAATCCTATGGACAACAGTATGCCAACAGACTAGATAGCCTATATGAAATGAGCACAGTCCTAGAAAGACACAAAACCTAAAAAAAAAACTCAAATTAGTGCAATACAAAATGAAAAAGGGGAAATCACTATAGCAAAAATAAAAAGGATTATATGGGAATCCTATGGACAACAGTATGCCAACAGACTAGATAGCCTATATGAAATGAGCACAGTCCTAGAAAGACACAAAACCAATGAAGGTCACTTAAGAAGATAAAGAAAATCTGAACAGGTCTAGCAGGAGATTGAATTAACAAATAAAACAACTCCCCACAGGGAAAAGTTCAGGTCCAGATAGCTTCACTGGTGAATTCTACCAAATGCTAAAGGAATTAACACCAAACCTTCACAACCTCTTCCAAAATACAGGAGTGAACACCTTCCAACTCATTCTATGAGGTCACTATTAGTACTCTGATACCAAAACCAAAGACATCACAAGAAAAACAACAAACCAGTATCTCTTAGGACTATAAGTGAAAAATCATTAACACTATCAAGCCAAATACAGTAACATGTGAAAAGGATATCATGACTGCTATTCCCTCTCCTCCAACACCAAATGCAAGAGAGTATGTTATAAAAAAAAAAAAAGAGTGTATGTTATATATGTATAACAAAAATAATGTTTTACACATTGCGGTTCAACTGAGGGGGTGGGTGTCAAAGTCCCTACCTTGGAGGACATGGTGGGGACCAGAGGCCATATGTAGAATTAGCAATTCATTGGTCCCCTGTGAATGTACAACATGTCCTGGCACTGGTGGACACAGGAGCTGAGTGTTCTCTGATTCATGGCAACCCTGAGCATTTTCCCCGGCCCCCTGCTGTGATAGATGGCTATGGGGGTAAGGCAATTAGAGTGAAGAAAGCCCGAATCTCATTGGAGATAGGACATTTACCCCCAAAAGAGTATACATTTCTCTCATCCCTGAATATATTTTGGGGGTAGATATCCTTCAGGGCTTGTGGTTACAGACCACTGTGGGTGAGTTCAGACTGAGGGTATCTGTGGTAAAGGCAGTTCTGAGGGGCATGCTAAGCACCCACCTG